CTTCATAACTCATATCTAATTATTTATTCAATTGCTACTCTTAATATTCATAACTCTCATATTTTTCATATTCATAACCTCCAACTATTTAATTTAAGACTTTAAGATATCTTTTGGTATTCTTCAATTTTTCTTTATGTAATCCATCTTTTTTGTTTCATGAGACCTTCTCCCAAGGTCATCATATTCATTATGTAGTTAAAATAGTGAAGCATTTATCACTATTGTATTTTTCGATTCATGTTTTAGGTTGATTTGATGAAGAAGAGTCTTAGATTTAAATTGGTACTCGGAGAAGTTGTCACGAAGAACTCATAAAACTTATATGTATGTTGTATCTTTATACCTCTATTTTTCCCCCTCTCTATTAGACTTATTTAATTTAATTTCTACAAATTTCTGATTGTTGTAAGTATTCCGATTGGGCTCAAATTAGTCATTTGTAACTTCATTGAAAGTTTGCTAACTAGTAACCAAAGTTCAAACCACACATGTTTTCAAAATTGAATTTTAATTGTCCTAACAAGTCTAGAAAAAATTACATGGGACACACGTGCAACGCATGTATTCAGAAACTAGTAGTTAGTAACAGTAAAGAACAACAAAGAATAATCTAAAGTAGAGATGATGTTTTCAATAGAACCTCAGCTCGATAACATAGACTTATTTAATTTAATTTCTACAAATTTGCTGAATATTGAGTCAGCAAAGAGTGACTGTCGAGGCAAACTGATCCGTTGCTGTCAAAGTTGTAGAAATAGAGTGATATAATACAGAGAGAAAATGAAGCAACAAAAATTAATGGATTTTTTTTTTATTTTTATGAATGAATCAAAATGGAAATGATAAGATGGATTATATTACTCCATCTGTTCCAATTTATGTGACTTACTTTTCTTTTTAGTAAGTCTCAAAAAGAATGACACATTTCTATATTAAGTAACAATTTAATTATAAAATGTCTATTTTACCTTTAATGAAATAATTTACAGCCACACAAATTTCTATCATTCATTTTGAACCACAAATTTTAAAAGTCTTTACTTCTTTCTTAAATTTCGTGTTGAATCAAACTGCCTCACATAAATTGAACGGAGGGAGTAATAAAATTTGTGAAAGAATTCAACAAATTTTGAAAGGACGGGACTTTTTTAACATAAACTTCCATATTGGTATGGTGGGGTTACACGTTTTAAATGAGTGGATCAAAATAGAATGAGTTAAAAGATGGATTAATAACAATCCAAAAGTTATTTGTTTTGAAATGAGAAATTTCATGTAAATAAATTTGTTTTGTCTGGTCTTTGATTTTGCCCTTTAGCAATAATCGAACTATTGTTCACTGGCATATAAGTTCTTTAGAAATTGAAGTCGTGTTTGAACATAACTATGTTGTGATACGAAAATATAAACTTACGTTATTTGTTAAGTAGAGCTTAAATTAGACACCGGCACAAAATATCTCAAAGTAAGGATCTCATGACTGTTATACCAACTTTATTTCTAAAGCTCGAACACTATATCTTTTATTATAGATGAAGGATTACTTACCGTCCACAGTAACCTAAAGACTTTTTTTTTGTTCACTTACTTTTACCGAAATTCCAAGTAAACTAAATGGGAGAATGGAACTCTTACCAATGAGGTGAAAGTGGTCGGTAATCAACGGAACTATTAAAAATTTCCAAAATTGGACACCTTGAAGAATCAATCAAATTATTTATATGTTTTCAAATATATATACATTAACGTTTTTGATAATATAATAGGGATAAGACATAAGTATCTCCCTAGATTATGATCGAAATTCCAGAGACACACCTTAACTAAACTAATGTCTTATTACCCTTGAACTCATTTTTTATATAATTTTGTACACCTTTTGGTTTATGTGTCACACTTCGTGACTCCCCGCCATTTAAGCGTGTGGGAGATATTTGGATGCCACATAAGCCAAAAAGGTGTACAAAATTACAAAAAAAAAAATGTATTCGGGGGTAATCGGACCTTAGTTTAGTTAATGTGTGTCTCTGGAATTTCGATAATAATCTAGGAGGATACTTGTACCTTTTCCCAATATAATACTTATCTTACCTTTTTAAAATATGAAACTTATAATAAAGATCAACAAATTTTATTTTATCAGGGGTAAATATATATTTATTTAATTATAAGTAGACATTGCCTAATTATATTTGTTTCTTAAGGTATTATTCCTTTTTTTTAAAAAACCATACTACTATGCAGGAGTCATTTTACTGGAGCTCTGTTGTGAATGAGTCAGTTTAAAAGAGATGCAGATAAAACACGTGTCATAATGAGGTGCGTAGCATAAATGTTACCGAGTGAAATAATTTAATTTGACACAGAATTCAAGAAAATATTTAATTTTATAATCTTAAATTAAAGTCATGTAAAATATATCAAAAATTTATTTAATCTTATAATTTTAAGCATAACACGTGAAAAACTAAAAATATTGTTATCAAAAAAGAAAAATAAGTCATTATTTTTTTTTCTAACGGAGGAGACATTTTTTACCGAGGACAAATAAATAAATATGCTCCGACAGAGCAATAATATAACAATAACAAACATTTGGTACAAAACAGTCAAAGCAATTAATTTTGAATATACCAAAATTGCCTCTTCTATAGACATTTATAATCTCTCTGTCCTTTTTTATTTGTCTAATTTTAACTTTTTATTTTTTAAATTATTTTTACTTTATCATTTTTCATAAATCAAGAATTTTTTTTATTTTTTTTACCTATTATACCCTTAATTTTTTAAGAAAGTTATCGTTTTGAAAAAGGTAGAAACTCTTTAATGAGTAAATTGATTTTAAAATTCTATCAATTAATAGAGGTAAAATGGTAAACTAACTATATAAATTATTATTTTCTTAATAGGTGTGTCAATTCAAAAATGAACAAATAAATAGAAACAAGTATATAATAGTAATAATTTGTTGGAAAGATTATTTGTGTTGATTTTTCAAAAGGAAGATAGAGTCACATAGGCCGAAAAGGGGTAGAAAATTATTTATAAAATAAGTTCGAAAGGTAATAAAACCTTAATATAGTATAAGTGTATCTCTGAAATTTCGAACATATGTTGAGGATACTTATGCATTTTCCCTTGATTTTTTTGTGAGAGAAGTCAATAGAAAAGATGAGGCTGATAGATAATGAGAAGAAAATGATGGAATAAAAGAGAAAAATGGAATTTTTTTAATTAGTCGGTCAAACAGGAAATGGTAATTTAGAGCAGTTTTGTAATAGAAGTCTTTTTTTCTTTTCCTTTTGTTTTTTGGTTTTCAGTCTAGTGTCCGGTATTCATATTGATTGAATTTGAATTTGTATCGGAAAATAATTCCTCACAATTATATACCTAAGAAGGCTCAAACTTAAACCTTCTAATTATGGATAAAATAGTTACCACTCCATGGCAATTTTTATTGATTTTTCTTTGTGAGAGAGAAGTCAACAAGAGGAAATAATTTGTGGAAAAGATCATTTGTTTGAATTAGTAACTGCCTATTTGATTGTTGGATTTATATATAAGAATACCCATTACTCCCTGTGTTGGGTTTTGGACCTTTTTTCCTTTCTACGTGGATAAATAAAAGTCCAATGTTTTGAGTCTTCCTTCTTTTTTTTTGTGGATAAATATAGCCCAAATTTGACTAGTCCACTTTTGCCCATAAGCTCAATATTATGGTGCATATGTAAGACTTTTTTTTAGGTCTTATTTGAGGAGAATATCACAAGAGATTGAGAGCAGTCATATAGAGAGAAAAGTGAGAAAGTGCAGATTTTCGCACAAGCCCTAGCAGCCAATTTCAAATCGCGATTCCCGCTTCGTTTCTTGTCCGATTGAGCTGATTTTTAGACAACTTGTTCTTTTCAACTTAATCCTTGATTGGGAACTGAGAGAGGTGATTTGGAGTCATAGCTCCAGATTTTAGCTCGTGAACAGTAACTGCGGGTTTGGTGATTTTGCTTCTTTATTTCTCTAGTTTTTGGTGTTATCTTGTAGTTGTGTTGCTCATTGCTTGGCACTTTGTTGGTGTCCATTTTGGAGAACACTTTTGTAGCTCTTGTTGATTTTAGTGGAGCTTTGGCCTTGTGGTTTTTACTCTTCACACCGAAAAGGTTTTCCACGTTAAACTTTGGTGTCTCGTGTGTTGATTTATTTTCTTGCTTGGTTGATTTGTTTGCTGCCCAAACAGTTTGTTCTTGCATTATTTTGTCTTCTCTTGGTTTTAATAGAAGGGAAAGTTTTGACTTGGGTTTTCTTCCGCTATCGCCATGTAGTGCACATTTATTTTGTGCTTGCCTTTCCCAACACCCTATTTAAATTAATGTGACACAGTTCGATTTGATACGGGTTTAAGAATGAAAAATATTTTTAAAATTTGTGATCTTCGACATGTTATTACTTCTTCAGGATAAAATACATTGATTTAAAATAAAAACTACATACAAACGTGAATTTTGACCTTATTATTACTTAACCATGATAAATACAAGGCTTAAGTCAACCAATAATGTTACGGTTCAACTGGTACAGTGGAAACGAGTTGAAGTGTTTAGATGCGCATACTCACAGTTGTCATCTCTGTCTAAGACCTCAAATGACTAGTTCAAAGAAACTATATAAGAAGCCATGAAAGGTAGGGCACAATACATAAATATGTCATTTAACTGGCATCATTTCACATTTATGCCCTTTAACTTTTTGTGTGCACAAGTAGGTACTTAAACGTGTATCAAGTTGAACAAATACACACACATCTAATGGGACATCCTACATGAAAATTTGTGTCCTACGTGTATTATGCCACATAAAACACACGTGTCTACTTATTCAACTTTATACAAATTTAAGTATCTGAGTATAGACTTAGGAACTACACTTCACATATCTTGTACACGACAAACTTCACGAACTTACATAGAACACCCTTGCAACCCAAGGGACTAGACTGTGTCTATCTATGTATATGCCTATAATCTATGCTTCAATTTCAGGACACTGAGATATCATCATCTGGGGTAAAAAGAACTATGAGATAAGTTGGCAACTGAAGAAGAATTGCCTTGTTTAATTGAGTAATCCTCCCAAGGGTCATGAAGATCCATGGTTTTCTCATCCACGAATGGCGGCTTAGTAGGAGGAGGCAACTCTTCGTCTTTCATCACGAGCATTTTTAATGCCTTAGACATGAATGGACGTAACCTTGGGATCTCTTGAGTGCACAAAAGTCCAACATGTAACACTCTCGCTACCTCATTTTGTACATTGATTGTATGGCAGTTATGCAACATGAGATTAGGATCGAACAGCTCCTCCACTATCCCGCGTTCAAAGTGCTCCCACACCTGTGAATTTCATCCATTAAAGTTAAGATCAATGAACAGAAATGTTTTCCTAGATTTAAAATTTGGTTCAAGAGAGAAATGACTGATCAGAAATTACATCGGAAACTATGCTGACTGTATCTTCGTCTTTTTTTCTCTTGTTATTTTGTCTTCCAGTAACAATCTCCAGTAGAAGAACTCCAAAGCTGTAAACATCTGCTTTTTCTGTTAATTGACCATGTGCCAAGTATTCTGGAGCCATATATCCCCTGCATTATTGGACCATATTAGTCTTTGCATTTTTTGTGTACTTTTATGCGAAAAATTAGAAGATGAGACGAAGAAATACTGACAATGTGCCAGCAAGGACAGTGCTTATGTGACTCTTGTCTTCTTGGAATGACCTGGCCAACCCAAAATCAGCAATCTTTGCACGGAGCCTCGAGTCCAACAGGATGTTGCTTGCCTTTATGTCTCTGTGTATTATTCGTGTCTTTGTGTTCTCGTGAAGGTATACCAATCCTTCTGCTGTACCTATAATTATCTCAAATCTTTTCTCCCAGTTTAGAGCTTTACCTTTGATAGGGTCTGTCAAATTTTAAAGTTAGAATCAAGATACGCGACAAAATCATTCTAGCATTGTTATGTGAAAACACAGCATTTAGTCTTAACGCGATGGCGTTTACTTATTTTCACTTCTATTTTTAGTTTGTGTGATGATGACATGAGTTTAGTGTAAATAGAATAATGAGGATTCATATAGCCGACCCTTACTTACCAAATATGAAGCGATCAAGACTCTGGTTAGGGAGGAACTCGTATACAAGAAGGCTTTCCGGTCCTGAGCAGCTGCATCCCAATAACCTTATCAAATTTTTGTGCTCAATGCTGCTGACTATGTTAACCTCGTTATAAAAACCTGCAACTCTGTGTTTGTTGTTGAAGAACAGCCTTTTGACGGCGATCTCTCTCCCATCTGCCAAAACACCCTGCAACAAATCACGCCTCAGACTCGGATTAATTGCCAACACTTCAAGTATTATATTGAATTGCACTACATTCAGCTATTACATACTTTATAAACCGTGCCAAATCCACCTTGCCCAAGTTTGTTGGCCTCATCAAATGACCCCGTGGCTTTGTCAAGCGTCGAATACTTGAAGTTCAAGCTGATGTCATGAAGTATCTTCACTAATTTCTCGGCATCATTTGCACCTAACAAATTCAAATTTTTTTATTCCAAGTTTTCGAATAAAGATGCAATATATCTACATCATTGATATCTAATGACTAATTTTTGGCACAAAAGTATTTACCTTTTCTCTTCTTCTGGATTAGTTTATTCTTCCAGACACCAATACCAATGAAAGCACCTACTCCCAAAACGACAACAGAACTAACAACAATGATAGTGACTACAACTTTTCCTGCAATATGGTGATTTGCAAGTAACATTTACGTGTTCAACCAATAAATAACAGGTAAACCAGGACGAAAAAAGAGAAAAAAGTACCCCTTGATGACGAGCCTCCGTTGGTAGTAATAGCATTGAGAAAATTGGTATCGGAATACCTCATGAAGCATCCGGTGTACAGAGCTCTACCTTTTGACCAAGGCAAGCATCTCAACATAGAGGCAGATGCATTTTGCAAACACGCTGCACAGGAATTCGCACTCAGCGTCTTCCAGCAATCAGCGAGAACATAAGCTGTATCATTGGAATCCCTGGGAAATGACACTTGGGAACGCGCATAGCCATTATTACTCGGTGCATTTGCAACTGCTTGCTGAACAGCTGCCCTAGCATTCTGTTGGAACAATGAACCCTTTGTCGTCCTGTTTCCGCATACTCGCCTGTCCTCTGGACCTAAATACTTGTCATAGAAGCTGTAATTCTCCGCTCGCATAAAGCAGCCATCAAGATAAATTCGCGCTCCGTTATAAGGGAAGCACTGGGGAAAAAGGGTTCGCGCTTCAGAGAAGCATAAGACACAGTCAATTAATGAAAGATCACCATAGCATTGGCTAATTCCATAAGTAGCATCTGGTCCAGTGCCAGTAACGGCTACTCCATATCCTCTAGCTCTCACTTGTTCACTTAACGTTTCCATTGTACCAACAAAATTTGGGACGGAAACCGTCGATTTGTTTCCACATATGAGCTGGATTATCTGGGATCTTGGTTCAGCCACTGATGTATCTGGTAGAAGTAGGATCAACATGACAACAAAGTGACTACATAACACTAAAGGAGTTGCTCCTTCCATTTTGCTAGATGAGCGCGCGCTGTACAAGTACAACATAGAAAACAATGTGAGTATTATTGAGCACCATCCATAACCACAACTGACGTCGTCACCAATCACCACTAGTCATCATTTACGATCATCACCACCAATCACTACCGACAGTCTCCACTATATATCATCAATCATTGTGATCACTCATCATCACCATTAACTATTATTCTCATCCACCGGCCACCATCTACAACCATTATTAGCCACTACTATCACCAGAGCCAGAGTTAGAATTTTGAGTTTACGAATTTTAGATTCCACAACAAGAAAGTTACTGCGTCCTTGATAAGTTATTTATACATATTAAGTAATTTTTTAACACAAATACGGGATCTATGTTAAAACCTTCTATGTTCTGCCAAACGCATAATCGGAATGTTAGCTCTGCCCCTAACTTTTAGCCACCATTATCACTAGCCTCAACCCACAACAACTGACATCAACCAACATCAATCATCACCAACCACAATCATCACTATCAGCCATCCATCACCACCAATAATCAGATTAAATTTCTAAAATAATTTGATGATACTGTATTAGATTACTCAGTATTTTATTTGAATTTTATATTTATTAGTTTGTAATTAAGGACAAATTTTGTACATTAAGATATTGAAAAAAGGAACAATCTTAATTATTTAGTATTCAGATCTCAATACAGCAGTTTTATATTCATATAGATATATATATTCATATTCAGTTATCTTAAGATTAATACACTAAAATTGAGATGTGTGTTCAAATTTGGACGTCTGAATATTAGTAAAAACATATGGGGCCATAAGTTATAAGTCCATCCAAACAGGCTCAAAACATTTTTAAAAGTTTGATGAACATTAATTGCTGCTCAAGTTATTTTTTTAATTTTATTGCCTGAACTCTAACTGTTAATCACCAATTTTTATTTTTATTTTGAAAAACACTTTTCAATATAAGCTGATTTTAGAAATTTGATCAAATAACTTAATAATTAGTGAAAAAAGGAAAAAAAAAACACTCACAAAACTCCTTCTGATCACTAAACAGTCTGAATTCGCCGGATTTTCGAGTCGGCACAGAGAGATCGCCGGTGAAAACTGATCAGCTACTGTCAAAGTTGTAGAAACAGAGAGAAAAGAGAAGAAAAATTGTTTTATTGATGAAAAATGAATCAAAGTGGCTTTGAAGTAATGGGTCGCTTTGTGAGAGAAGTCCTTTTATACTATTTTTGGTTTCCTAATCTGGTGTCAAGTATAATGATATCCGTATTGAAGCCGACTAAATTTGAATTCGTGTTGAAAATTTTTATATTGGGGTAAAATGTTTAAGGCTCAAATCTGGAATTTTTAGCTTAAGGATGAAAGAGTATAGATGATTTTGGGGCAACTCTCATTATTTTATAATTTCTTCGTTTTAATTTGTTTGTACTATTTTCTATTTTACTCCGACAACTCTTTATTTCTAACATACTATATGTCATGTTTAAGACCATAAGATTAAACAGTATTTGGTATCATAATATTCAAAATAATAATTTAAATTTAATGTTAAATCAAAACTAGACGAATAAATTAATACGGAGGAAGTAATTTTATTTTATTTTTTTGTTGAGAGAAGTCAACAAGAGGAAAGACATTGTTGTTTGAATTTTTCAAACGGACTTAAAACAGTACAATAGAAGAATTTAATAGATATTTGTGGGGCCTTTTTTTGTAATTACTTTACGTACTGCCCAATCCAGAATAATAAAGAAGGGGAGAAGAAAAAAGATACTTCTCCTCTTTCAATTTGCGTGATACGGTTTTGATTTGACATGAAATTTTAAAATGAAATTAATATGTTGAATACATATTTTGATAAAGTGACTAGGGATGGAAATACATTGTTCACTATCTACGGTATATACCTTAAACAAATAAAAATTTAAACATGTATAAATAGTACTCCCTCCATTTCAATTGTTTTCCTATCAAGTCGGTTTGAAAAAGAATGACCCTTTTCTTTTTTTTGGTAACACTTTGATTTCAGCTTTCACGTGACATGTTTATGTCCACAAGATTAAGGGACATTTTGATACATTTGACATAACTTTAATTTAAAATCACAAGATTGAGAAGTCTTCTTTATTTTTTAAACTCCGTGTCAAGTGAAACGAAGTCATTCTTTTCTAAATGGAGGATGTATAATTTTCCATCAAAGGGGATTCAGATGAACACCTACGACCCTACCTACCTCTGCCCTTGCACTTATGCAACAAAGAAGTGGAAACAATTAAAGCAACAAAAAAAAAAAGACATTTGGAAGTCAACATAGTTGGGATGTCACTTGCGAAACTCGTTTTCTCAACTTTCATTAGGAAAATCATTTTTTCCTCCTTTTTAAAGAACTTGTTTTCCGAGACAAAATGTTTTCCAAATTGATAAATAATACATGAAAAAATTGAAAAATGTATTCTGAAGTTTTAAACTTACAACTAACCGCTTAAATGGAATACTGAGAATTCATATAGCCGACCTCAACTTGTTTGAGACAGAAACATAGTTGCTGTGGTTGTTGTAACAAACTGCTCGATCGATCACGATAAAGTCTCCTTCAAGAACACGAGGCGAAAGGATATGCTTGACAGCTTGAGATAACTATAATTTTTACATCACTTTCAGTTCAGGAGCACTGAGATATCATCATCTGGGGTAAAAAGAACTGTGAGATAAGTTGGCAATCGAAGCAGAATCGCCATGTTTGAGCAAGTTCTTCTCCCAAGGGTCGTGAAGTTCCATGGTTTTCTCATCCACGAATGGCGGTTTAGTAGGAGGAGGCAACTCTTCGTCTTTCTTCACGAGCATTTTTAATGCCTTAGGCATGAATGGACGTAACGTTGGGATCTCTTGAGTGCACAATAGTCCCACATGTAACACTCTCGCAACCTCATTTTGTACATTGATTGTATGGCAGTTATGCAACATGAGATTTGGATCGAACAGTTCCTCCACTATCCCGCGTTCAAAGTGCTTCCACACCTGTTAATTTCATCCGATAAAATTAAGATCAATGAACAGAAATGTTTTCCTAGATTTAAAATTTGGTTCAAGAGAGAAGTGATTGATCAGAAATTACATCGGAAACTAAGCTGACTGTATCTTCGTCGTTTTTTCTCTTGTTATTTTGTTTTCCAGTAACAATCTCTAGTAGAAGAACCCCAAAGCTGTAAACATCTGCTTTTTCTGTTAATTGGCCATGTGCTAAGTATTCTGGAGCCATATATCCCCTGCATTATTGGACCATATTAGTCTTTGCATTTTTTGTGTACTTTTACTCGAAAAAATAGAAGACGAGACGAAGAAATACTGACAATGTGCCAGCAAGGACAGTGCTTATGTGACTCTTGTCTTCTTGGAATGACCTGGCCAGCCCAAAATCAGCAATCTTTGCACGGAGCCTCGAGTCCAACAGGATGTTGCTTGCCTTTATGTCTCTGTGTATTATTCGTGTCTTTGTGTTCTCGTGAAGGTATACCAATCCTTCTGCTGTACCAATAATTATCTCAAATCTTTTCTCCCAGTTTAGAGCTTTACCTTTGATAGGGTCTGTCAAATTTTAAAGTTAGAATCAAGATACGCGACAAAATCATTCTAGCATTGTTATGTGAAAACACAGCATTTAGTCTTAACGCGATGGCGTTTACTTATTTTCACTTCTATTTTTAGTTTGTGTGATGATGACATGAGTTTAGCATAAATAGAATAGTGAGGATTCATATAGCCGACCCTTACTTACCAAATATGAAGCGATCCAGACTCTGGTTAGGGAGGAACTCGTATACAAGAAGGCTTTCCGGTCCTGAGCTGCTGCATCCCAATAACCTTATCAAATTTTTGTGCTCGATGCTGCTGACTATGTTAACCTCGTTATAAAAATCTGCAACTCTGTGTTTGTTGTTGAAGAACAGCCTTTTGACGGCGATCTCTCTCCCATCTGCCAAAACACCCTGCAACAAATCACGCCTCAGACTCGGATTAATTGCCAACACTTCAAGTATTATATTGAATTGCATTACATTCAGCTATTACATACTTTATAAACTGTGCCAAATCCACCTTGCCCGAGCTTGTTGGCCTCATCAAATGACCCCGTGGCTTTGTCAAGCGTCGAATACTTGAAGTTCAAGCTGATGTCATGAAGTATCTTCACTAATTTCTCGGCATCATTTGCACCTAACAAGTTCAAATTTTTTTATTCTAAGTTTTCGAATAAAGCTGCAATATATGTACATCATTGATATCCTAATGACTATTTTTTGGCACAAAAGTATTTACCTTTTCTCTTCTTCTGGATTAGTTTATTCTTCCAGACACCAAAAGCAATGAAAGCACCTACTCCCAAAACGACAACGGAACTAACAACAATGATAGTGACTACAACTTTTCCTGCAATATGGTGATTTGCAAGTAAAATCTACGTGTTCAGCCGATAAATAACAGGTAAACCAGGACGAAAAAAGAGAAAAAAGTACCCCTTGATGACGAGCCTCCGCTGGTAGTAATAGCATTGAGAAAATTGGTATCGGAATACCTCATGAAGCATCCGGTGTACAGAGCTCTACCTTCTGACCAAGGCAAGCATCCCAACATGGATGCAGATGCATTTTGCAAACACGCTGAGCAGGAATTTGCACTCAGCGTCTTCCAGCAATCAGCTAGAACATAAGCTGTATCATTGGAATCCCTGGGAAATGACACTTGGGAACGCGCATAGCCATTATTACTCGGTGCATTTGCAACTGCTTGCTGAACAGCTGCCCTAGCATTCTGTTGGAACAATGAACCCTTTGTCGTCCTATTTCCGCATACTCGCCTGTCCTCTGGACCTAAATACTCGTCATAGAAACTGTAATTCTCTGCTCGCATAAAGCAGCCATCAAGATAAATTCGTGCTCCGTTATAAGGGAAGCACTGAGGAATAAGGGTTCGCACTTCAGAAAAGCATAAGACACAG